GGGGGGGTGAGGCTCTCTCGAGTTTATGCAGTCGGTCGAAAGCGGAGCAGTGAAAGGGTTAATCCAAAACATTTTGTTGGTTACCTGAGTTAATATAGTACCTAGTAAATCAGCACTCGCCCAGGTCAGCTAATGTTACTAATAGTAAGCCAGACACCGGTGTTTTGCTTATTGCTATTATTGCCTTTTTCCTATTCTTAAGTACGTTAAGGGTGCCAATGAATCCAGAGAGAAAGGTAAAGAAAGAAAGGCAAAACAGAAAGAAAACTTTTGGGAAACAATGAAAAAAGATGGCATATTGGGAGTAGAGTTATATTTTATGGGAAGAACAATTGAAGTCTCAAAGAATGTTGACCAAATAGCATTGTAAGCTGCTAAACACTACTGTTTGTTTATTTAAGTAGCAAGTCATCACACTGGCGATTAATCAGGGCTGGGCAAAATAAGAACAAAAAAGTGATAGTAACGGAGTGAGGCCTACCAAGGGGTTCCTCCAATCACACACTTTTGAGTTTTAACAGAAATTATATTTAATGTCATAAAGAAAGAATTCATAAACGAAAGTTGGCCAAATAAATATAAGTGTCCACAAAGCAGGTTTTGTTATTATGCTGGGATTGTATTTGTACTAGCAGTTCTGCATGCCCTTTTAACACAGACCCCTTCACGTAAATACAGGTTGTATTGTAATTGTAATTTTGTTTTTGAAAATCGTAATCTATGTTCACTCGCGGGCAGACATTTCTCTTAGTTGCTTGCACTACCGTCAAGCTATAGGAGAAAAACACTTTTTCTTATTTTAAGAAAGTGTATTTCCATATTATATATTTCCTTTTTGATTTCCTTTTTGTATGCACTTTGATTTTTTAAAAAACATTTTTTTTCTTCTGAATTCAGAGTCCTTGACTTTGCGTTCCTCATGGCGTACGACCTGCACGGGCAATGGGAGGACCCGTCATCGGGTGCTCTCCATCATGCGCCCCTGGACCCGGAAGTTGTGAGTACCTCGTATTATTAGTACAGTCGGAAATGTCCAAGAAGGTCACCTATTCGCTATCTCAAAATTACAAAAGCTCTATTCTGCCCAGTACCTAGTTTTCAACAATTTGACATAAAACCTTTTTCATCATGTCAAGTTCTTTTGAATGCCATTCTTTAAATATCTTGATAACGACTCCAAATAATATAACAATTTTGGTAGAGCAGATACAACATTTATTGGTTTCTCCCCTTTTAGCCTTAATAACTAAAACTAGCCAAAAGTGTCAGAGAGAACTTTTTTTTTTTTTAGGTAGCGTACTCTTAAGGAGAAAAGGGATCGTCTTAGATCTTAGACAGTTGGTTGTCTTAGACAACGCTATTTATAAAGAAGGAAAAACACAAGGGCGGTGGGGGAGGGGGGGGGGTAAGAAGTGAATGCTAGTACAGGTGATTGATATACTCCTACTTCCACGATTTAACACTGTACATTCGACGCAGGCTCGTGTTATGTGTTTGTTGGTCTACGAAAACGTACACACACACACACACACACACACACACACACACACACACACACACACACACACACACACACACAGATACACACACTCACACACACACACCGGCGCGCGCACACATACACACATATACACACACTCACACACACACACACACACACCGGCGCGCGCACACATACACACACACACACAGAAAGAGAGAGAGAGAGAGAGAGAGAGACAGAGAGAGAGAGAGAAAGAGAGAGAGAAACAGACAGACATAAAATACAGACAGACATGCTTACATACAGACAGGCTAGCGGCCCGTTACTTTCTTTGCTTACGAATGATACACAAAAAGGAACATCCAGAACTCAAAACTCGTTTATTTGAGGTACATGTACATGTATATAAATTAAGTAAGTTTATGAAGTCCTAGAATCACCGAAGTGCCCCGCCATCACCCCTCCAGCCTCCCCCCGAAGCTTTATCATTATTACATGGCCTCGGTATATTTTGCCTTGTCATCAATTCCAGAAGGCCCAGTGCTCTACTGACCTCCGGTGGTGTGCTATTTATTTAAATGCCTTCCCTTTTAATTTGACGAAAGGTGGGAGTGGGGAGCTGGCAAGTGATGTGATTTAATCTTATTACGTTCTTTTCCCCCTAATAATAAATTAGTATTATTGATGAATTACTGAATTCCCAACAAGTACTTTTTCTAATTCTTCGTTAAGATGAGATCAATAAATATGTCGCCATGTTACATAAATGTACAGTGTAGCTACGTTTATACACTGGAAAAATGGGAGAAAATGGCAGGCTATTTTTCTTTTCAAAATAATGCCCCCTTTATGCAACCCGAATAAAGGTCATATTAAGACAGTTTGAAAGAGGCGAGAACTTTTGTGAAATTGTGTTCACACAGTTCGCTGTTTTGTCAAAGATTGCATCTCATGAGGTAGCGGTATTTGTGAAAAAAAGTAGATTGAAATGGCGTCGTTTCCCTGGCAACGACAAATTAATGACCACTCATGAAGTTAATCAATTATTTTTCCTTTTTAAGACCAAAACCCGTTGAAGAAAGAAAAAGCCAACAATTCCCAAATCTGCGTATTCGCTCTTTCAAAGCGTTATTTCTTTTTTTTAAAAACTTTAATATTAATGATATATCTTCAAAATGATTATTGAAAATATAATTTAAAAATAAATAAAAATCTAAAAAATTGTAAATACATTCACTCTTTCAAAAACGTCCAGGCAGAAAAGTCGAAATACTCGATAACATTTCTCCTCACAAGGAAATGAAACTCATTTATATGCAAGAGAAATGTGCCTATCGCAACACCACATTTCTCGTATTGGTGGCTTCAAAATCCTGTCTCTTATAGATGGGACTCTTTCATAAACTGTAGAGGTAAATCATCAGAAGTAATTTAAGTCCCTATCTTATCTCACATATTGTATAACCACTGGGCTCTAAATTGTGTCAAAAGAGCTAACCGGAATCCATACAGTTTACGCGAAACTACAGTTAAACTCCACTGGATGCACTTTTAAGCAATAATAATAATGCTACACAATTTTGTACTCCGTATTATTGTCATTTTTTTATCACAAATTTAAAAGGGAAATTAATCAATTAATTATTATTCATTCCACCACAACACGAAAACAAATTTGATCAGAAGACAAGGTGGGGGATCCCCGTAACGAAATAACAAGTCTCCCAGGGTCCGTCCGTAATTTTCAGTTTTATGTAAGGAGGATTAATCCGAGCACAATTACGATGTTAACACACACTGGTCCATAGTAATAAGGTCAACCTCAGCCCCCCACCCCCCCCCACCCTTACTGTCCAACTTCCTATCACCCTCAAAGCGTACAAACCTGATAGAAAGGGCTCGGCCTGTTAAGTAGCAGCGTTGTCCGATCGGTAGTGACGTCAAACGCTTCCATGGCGGTAATGAGTTGCCCAGGAAGTTCACTGGGCTGGAAGAAAGAGTAGAGGCAGGTTTCCTAGTTCCTTGTAATTGTTTTACTTACTTGCGGTCCACGCTACTGGTTGATCCCTTTAGCTGATTGAATACTGAGGTCGGTCGGTCAGATTATATCACACGATGCGGTAGTGTGGGTAAGTTCATGAAGAGTCTCTATGTTAATATTGTTGTGTTTAAAAAATTTTTTTTTTTTTTTTTTTTTGCTCAACCCCTTTTATGTCCATATAAAATAGATTTCCTGGTCAACTTTTTTTTTTTTGGGGGGGGGGAGTTGACTTGTTAGATAAGGTTGAAATATAAAGATTCACGTTGGGGGAGGAGCGAGGTGGGTAGTGGTAGACGTATAATAGAAAGTCATTCGCTCTTTTTTGTTTCATTCAAGAAAATGGGGAGGAAGTGGAAGTGATTAACAAGATTGAGATAAGGACCTGATGATGATGATGATGATGATGATGATAATAATAATAATAAAAATGATAATAATAACAATAATA